CTATAACACCCAATTACGTGAAACTTCGGGTTTTTAGATTTTGAGGTCAAAGATTTACCAAGCTCTGTTAGCCAGTTGTCAAAAATATCGATAAAGTAAAGAAGTCGTTCAGTCCGACACGTATTGTAAGAAATGTTTTGAGAGATCAGCAGCTGAACATTGCATAGAATTCGTTGAGGCAAGAAATACTCAAGGACGGAATTTCCTTCTGCGTTCTGGGGCAGAATCGCAACGAAATCAATATATTTCTGAAGCGCATGGTTACTGATGCTGAAAAGTGGGTCACTAACGACAACGCAAGCTAAAACGGTCTTGGGGTTCCGCTATGAGTCGGTAAACACCGTGATCAAACTAGAATTGACGGTTAAGAAGGCTTTATTATGTTTTTGCGGTGATTGGCAAGGAATCATGTAATTTGGACACTGACAGTCAGCAATTGGACCGCCTACAAGAAGCAATCGCACCGAAGCGGCCAGCTGTGGCTAGTAGGAGAATAATTGTATTCCATCAAGACAACGCCGGATCACACACATCGATAATGGCTCTCCAAARGCACAATGAGCTTGGTTGGGAAATTTTTATGGAATTCCGTATAGTCGGCACCTGGCACTAAGTGATTGCTGCCAGTTTTTGTATATAGCATTAACAACAATTAATCGCACAAAATAAGGCTTATCTGACGCAAATCGGATCATTATAACCATGACAAACAATGGTAGAACCTGAACCCTTCTTTCGGGTGGGTCCCCATACCACAACGGAGCTGCTCCGCAAGGAAGAAGGAGTAGGTAGAGAAAGGTATTGGCAACAACTAAAAGGCATGCGGCATGACATGTTGTTAATGAGGGGTTACAATCTCGGAAGATTTAAATATACAATCATCCCTAGGGCCAAACTCAGCCTACTGGTTGCATTCGTGCACTGGCCRCTGCAAGCTGAAAAAGCACTTTCATAACATGGGCCAAGCTTTTTGCGCAAAACTTTCAGAGCTGAAGTGTTTTCGTCCATTYGGACGACATGACCTAGCCAGCGTAGTCGCTGTCACTTAATTCGCTGAGCTATGTAATGTCGTTCAATATCTTATACAGTTCATCGTTCCATCGACTGCGGTATTCGCTGTTGCCAATGCGCCAAGGATCATAAATCTTCCGCAGAACCTTTCTCACGAAAACTCGTAACGTCGACCAAACAGTTGTTGTCATCGTTCATACCTCTGAACCATTTAGCAGGATGGGAATATTCTGCGTTACTAGTTCTAAGTTAGAAGACTTCGAACTTATGACTGAAAGCAGTGACTGCGGAGCCAAGTCGAGAGTGCGACGACTGTTTGTTTGATGACAGGCGATATTTCGCCTTGCCCTCGTGCACTACCAAACACATTTGCTTCGCCTTCTATAGTCTGGAGAAAGCAGAACTAACGACATACGTGTTGAGGCCAATGATATCAATACCATCAGTGTACGACAGTTATACTTGCATTCCTGGACTGACCACTGCAATCTGAAGAAGCACTTACAACACATGGGTGAAGCTTTTTGCGAAAAACTTAATATTTKGCAATGTAAAATGTTTCTTTTCCCGCTTCGTAACAGCAAGGACTTAAAACCATTCTAATTGTGAAACCCTTATTATTGAATGGGCGAAGAAGTAAAGACTCTACACGATAGTCCTCATGGACAATTTGTTAGCTACAAGTACATTTTCTTTTTTTTTTTTCATTTAGAAGTAGAAAATAGTCTTTATGACGATCTCCTGATGTATTCTAAAGACCATAAATCCAACAAGTCTTACATGCTATCATTTAAGGATTATAATGACGAACACTCCAAGAAACATTTGCCGAGACGTTCTCTTGGAACAGAAAAGTCTCCCGGAAGAATAAGAAGAGTTTAATAAGCGCTTCAGATTTCCTCGGAGCKTGAATATGGATTGACTTTACTCCGTCATTCTGTATACACTTTACCTGAAAAGATGTCATACCAGAGGAGCCACCCCAATATGTATTTGTGTTTATAAAATATTCGTATATCGCAATCATTTCATTTTACTTTTGTTAGAATACTTGCTGCGACAAGTTAGTGAGTGTATCTCATCTCTGTGTTAAGTGCATGCCAAGAAGATCAGCTCTGTGCAGTAAATATGTAACCCTAATGTGTATACCCGTGTTAGTTGGAGCTTCGCTACGCATATAATTTTCATAATTTGTAACTAAGTGAAATGGAAACTTAATGTATTTACAATAAATTATACCGATTGAACTCAATAAAAAGCGGAAAGAAAGTGGGTGAGTCGATGAAAAAGGCGAAGAGGCAGCATCTGGCACCAGATGCACTTTGCTTATATTCTCTTTATATAAATTTTATTACACAAGTGTGTATTTGCATTATCATTTTAGCTGAGAATTGCATTTGCCTCTTTTTGCTGTGAAGACCACGTGCTATAAAAGCCGCGCGCGAGCCGCCACCGCTCAACAGTCGCTCCAAATACTTCGCTCAACGTAGCTCGTTCAACGATAACAAATAAATATGAAATTCTGCTTAGCTCTGCTGTCGCTGCTCTTGGCTGTGGTTAGTAAGAATGCATACTWTTTAACCAGTTYGATTATTCAACGACTCYAYCTGATTGTTGTTTCYAGGTMTTCGCCGTCGCAGATCATGCCGGTCACTCCGATTATGTGGTCAAAACCAAAGAGGACTTGATACGCTATCGCGATGAATGTGTTTCGAAGTTGAGTATTCCCTCGGATCTGGTGGATAAGTACAAGGAGGGGAGCTTTCCGGATGATGAGAAAACTCACTGTTATTTGAAGTGCGTTTTAGAGAAGTTCGAACTGTTCGATGAGTCAAAGGGCTTCGATGTGCACAAGATACACCACCAATTGGAGGGCGCTAATGCCGATCACTCAGACGCTACACACGGAGCTATTGAGAATTGCGCAAAGGAAGCCGCTGGCGATGACGCATGCGTTCGTGCATATCGTGGCTTCACCTGTTTCCTCAAGAACAACGCACAATTGGTGCAAGATGGCGTCAAAAAAAGCAGCAAATAATGTTTTTAAATAAAAAAATGTGCGAAAAATATATCTTTACTCCAAAATTATTTGTTTTACTTGTATACATACATATGTTTAAAGGGAAGGCAAAACAAAACAAAACTTAGCTTTCAACATGTCTTTACTCTCTTCTGGTCGCAATCGGTCGAGTATACCATAATTATTTTTTTATGTTTTCTGGAACCTCTTAATTCTCTTTCTAATATACTGATTTTCGTTCCTAAAGTTAATTTTCTTATGAAACTGTATGGATATAGTTTAATAACCAATCATTTGCTAACAGAGAGGGTCTCTTCTGCCAGAAGGTCAACTTCAGCCTTAGACTACCAACCTGCTACCTTCAGTATCTTTCAAGTAACTGTAAAGTTGGCTGCGAACAAGGTAGATGTACTGCTTAGAAGTGCAGCTTCCTTTAGAAAGGTTTGCATTTGTTACCATTAGCACATTAGCAGAGCTTCAAGACTGCCCCTTGAGCTCACTGATAGTGCCCTGAAGTTTAGTTAAGGAGAGTTTGACCTCCTTATCAGTAGCATCAAACTATCTTGTCATCTGACTTGTTTGGGTAGCTGGTCACTGCGGAAACTACAAAACAGATAAGCTTGCTGGGTGGGCACCTTAACTGCAATTTCATCAGATTATTAACGAGTCATTCCATTGATGTCTACTTGCGCTTTAGCGTTGGATTTGTCAACAACCGAAACTCTTGAGGTTCTGAGATCCGTCAGAATCAAGTAACGCGTGGGTGGTCATACTTGGCCTTAGCAAGGTTCACCTCAATGCCATGCTAGGTATTCTGATTGGACAGTGAGATTACATACCTTGCCGGACGCAAATTACCAATTTCTTCTAAATTGTYAAGCTATTGCCAGATTGGAATTGAAACATCTCTGTAGTCTCACTATCAGCCGATCTGTAAGGGTCTGGTGGTCTATATCCAACAGTTTTCAGAATCACAAAGAACAAGCGTCTACAGCTGTCTTAGAGGGCTCATGCCTTAGCTTTGTAGTGAACATAACCATGCGTTACCACAACCAATTTAAAAGCGTCCACTCCTTATTTAAGTCTCGTGTACCAAATATCCATTTTAGTTTACTATAGTGATTCATATATCATAGAATCGGTCCATAAATTATTTTCATAACAACCACSTACTTAATATTTTGCATTCATTTTGGGGTGTGACTTTATACTGAAATATAATAAAAATATATACAAAACTAAGTTGTATTCTACAAATGTATATATGCATGTATATGTACATCTTTATATACTTTGTGACAAAATCCCAGAAATGGTAAGTAAGCCCCACAAGATGTAATACACTTATGCAAACGCCTTTTCCAGTCCTTGAAACAATTTTCATAAGCAGTTTTTGGGATAGCCTTCAGCTCCTTTAGCAAATTTTATTTTATCCATCGATCGACTGAAATGGGTTCCACGGAACGGCAATATCAGTTTGTGGAACAAGAAAAAATTACACGGATCAAAATCTGATGAATACGCTAGTTGATCAATGGTATTCATCGCGTTTTTGGCTTTCAATTCGCTAACAATCGTGGCTCGATGCGTAGTGCATTGTCATCGTGTAAAATCCATGAATTGTTCTTCCAGAATTCTGGTTTTTTTCGAMGGATGTTCTCACGCAAATGCTTCAATACGGTCAAATAAAACTCCTCATTGACCGTTTGTCTCTCTGAAACCTGTTTACTGTACTCCTTTTGAAAAAAAAGTCAGCTTTATCGGGACGAGTCGAGCAAGAACGCGTATCATACATAAAATATCCACCAAAATCATTCGAAGGGATCTCTTGACAGTCCTGCCACCTTAGCAAACTACATTTTTTTTGAAATATCATTTACCCGGGGAATTAAATTACAATTTCCGAGTGCTTTTTGTCACAATGTATATGTAAATATAATTGTTTATAATTACAACTACAAATCGGTAATATTCTTGTTTTGTATGTCTATAAATATACATATATATATCAGTGTATCTATAAATCTGTATGTATATACAATATAAAACGTAAATACGTTTACACACATTCATATCACATATGGATGAGTCAAAAATTTGAATAAGTATAAGGGTAACATTAAAATCATACACAAAATGTGGAACAAATACACAGTTATCAATAAAAAGTGCGTTTTAGTCTTCAAGACCTAGGTATGAAAATATGCCACTAAGAAAAGACCATCTCAGACGAAATATTTCGACAATAGCACTAGATGGGCAAATCGACTTTTTTGGGAGTATTGTCTCAAATAAATTATTTTCGAAAGTTTCAGTCCTAAGTAGTTTTMTTTTTAGTTTTTCGAAGTTTGGGTYCAAAATCTAAGTATTTRTRTTCAAATTTCGAMTTKGAGCTKTCTGAAAACATATTTATTAATTACAGTATGTAAATTCTTCAAGAAGTAAAAATATATGAACCATCTACGGTTTCTTCTCATTTCAATTATGTATAACATTTTTCGGTTGAGCTATATAATATGACAAATGCTGTTCAGCGTAATAACAAAATTAACCAGTTAAGTACCGTTAGTAAAATAAATTAACGTATAAGTTACGTATAAGTTAAGGTATAACCCTGATTTTATAACTGTCATTACAGCAATTTTCTCAAAAGATACAGAGAAATATTTCTTCTTGCTGCTTCAAAAAACATAATCCCGAAGTTTCATTGGTGTTTTTATAAAATCCAGGCCTATATCTCCAATTTTCCGAAATTCTCAATAATTCTCATAAAAGTTTCCTAATTAAAAAAAAAAAAAAATATTTTTTTCGTTTCCGATAACAAGCCTAGACAAGAAGTTGACGGCTGAAAATATGTGTATCAGCAGGATCGTTGATGTTTCCGCCATTTTTTTTTTTACTTAAAATAATTTTTATTTTGTAGTTCAATAAAAAAWTGCAAAAATCGGATGTGATGTGCTTTTATTCGCCTATAATAAAAGGGGAAAAATTTTCGTTTCTTGACGGTACTAAAGGATTCCCTACCCCCTTTAAGCTCTCAACTAAAATCATTTGAATTTGACTCTTTCCAAAAGGAAACGAAGTATTGAAGGGTTCTTCAAAAACTTTGAAAAATCAAATTTTCCCTTAATTGTCACTTCTTTCCTAAATCCCCACCGCTTTTTTTTTGTACACCCTAATGGACATGTCCGTAGGTCATGCATGCTGAAGCAAGTGCTCGCATACATTCATTTGTATATACGTATGTATTGTATTGAATTGAAAATATAACAAGTAAGAAAGATAAAGTTCGGGTGCAACCGAACATTTTTGACATAGACACATACCATTATAAGAGAAGGATTGTCTCTTAATTTCAGTTATGTATATATAGTATATCACACATTGACCGACAAAAGTCAACTATAGGTACTGGGGTCCAAATACTAGGCGCTTGAAAAGTGTTTATTGGATTTAAACATAAAGTGGCACACACTAAAGACATTATTCGTGCAAAGTTTTATGACGTTATATGAATTACTTCTTGATTTGTGTACTGAAAACTGAACRAATCAAGTGAAATTTTAAATTGCGAAATAGGAAGTAGGCGTGGTTGTTTTCCGATTTCGTCCATTTTCACAATGTAACACCGCAATCGGTTGGTCGAGTCCCGAGATGTGGGATTTCACCAAAAAGTGGATGGTGCCATGTCCATCGTTTAATTTTCATATCGSCTCCCATAAAGCTTTCTCATACCATCTAGGTGGTAAAATTTAATGTCTCTTGTGTGTTTAGTTCTTGATTTACGAGCTTTTTTTAACAGTATTTTTTGGTCATTTATACATATATAGGCTGCTATATATATTTCTGGACTAATAATGAAAATAGGAATATTTATCAACGAAAATGGTTTTATTGTTTTTCAAAATATTCTCCATCAAGMTTTATACACTTTTGCGTGCGCTCAAACCAATTTTCGAAGCACTTTCTCCACTCCGATTGAGACACCTCCAAAAGATGGTTTTTGAATGCTTCAACAGCATCTTCTGGCGACGAAAATCGTTSACCACGCATTATTTTCTTGATGTGTGGGAATAAAAAGAAGTCATTGGGTGCCAAGTCAGGGCTGTACGGCGGATGACCCATCAATTCGACGTTTTGGCCGGTTAAAAAGGCGCTGGTTTGAGCCGATGTGTGAGAGCTCGCATTGTCATGGTGCACAATGATTCGTCTTCTCTTGTTCGTTTTTCGAATTTCTCCGAAGACTTCAGGCAAACAAATGGTTTTGCCGAAGAAACAGGCGACCATTCGCTTCGAAGTGCTTCTTCCACGAACAACTTTCATTGGATTTGGCTCGTCTTGGAAGACCCACACGGTCGATTGCTGTTTTGTTTCGGGCTCATACGCTTAGATCCATTATTCGTCACCTGTGACGATCTTATGAACGTCTTTTGAAGCACAGCGATCGTATTTTTTCAGCATTTCTTTACACCAATCCACAGGATCATTTTTTTGAGCGATTGTCAAATTGTGCGGGATGCAACGAGAACAAACCTTTTTTACGGCCAGTTGTTCATGCAATATCGAATGTATGCTGGTGGGAGAAATGCATAGGCATGCCTCTATCTTAAGGTATGTTACATGACGGTCTTGCATTATCAGTTCACGTACGGCATCGATGTTTTCTGGCACAACGGCTGTTTTTGGACGACTTTCACGGAATTCGTCTTTGAGTGAGCGTCGGCCACGCTTGAATTCGTTGTACCAGTTTTTCACAGTGCTATAGGATGGTGCTTCATAGCCATACAAAGATTTTAGTTTAAGATTAAAGATTTTATATTACCGATGCAGTCTTTTCATGATAATCCACGTCGAAAATTGTGAAAAATGATCGCACGAAAATGTTCACGAGTTAATTCCATTTTTTGGCCCAGATGAATTTTTTAATTCCCTCTAAATAAAACAGTTCACGATTAAATGACAAAACGTCTGAGTGATGTTATGCTAAAAATGTCAAACTTTCCAATGGAAGTGTCAGATTGCACCTGGYGACACTTAGTGTTGCCTAGGCCAGAAATATATATAGCAGCCTATAACTGTATATTTATCTTGCTTAGTTTTAAGTGATACGTGCAACCGTCCGGTGAACAAAACTATAATACTCTGGAGCAACTGGTTGCAAGAGTATAAAAATGAGTTACAAACCGTAGCAATTGATGTGGTTATTGCTTGTGAGATAAGGTCAGTTGTGGACTGATGTATATATATATGTACTCGTATATGCAAATAAAATATCTCACAGTTTAATTACCAGTTTTCTTACTTTTAATTATTCTAAGAAATGATTGTAAGTTAGTGGCAATAAATAAGTTTAGTACTTAGCTGATGTGCACATTAAGTAATTGGAAAAGCACCGGCATATTTAACAAGCTTCATGGCAGCTCAGCGCCGTTGATAATTAGAAGAAAATATAAAAACAATGAGCTATTTCGATGAAGTTCAGCTTTACGGTGGCTTTTGATTTATTCRTATATAATTTGTAAGACAAAAAATCTACTAATAAATGATTTCTACTATTTTTAATAACAATTCATAATTGTTGAAATATTCACAAGTGGTAATAATGTTCGGTTACTGGGTAAATTAATTTAGAGCTTGATTTAATAGTGATTGTTTTGGGTCGATTTATAAACTATAGCTTTATATAATTGTTTCGCTTCAACTGCTATTTAAAATATATTAATTTGAACTACCTAAAAAAGTACGGATGCTTTTTATCAGTTCGATTAATTATCTTAATGGGAAAATAGTGAACTTTGAAGCTAAATGAATGAATACGAATAGCTTGTTGACAATTCTCTATTTATAGACAAAGCAAGCAGTAGACGGTAGGAATAGATGGTACAAAATAGAGCTGGAAAAAATTTGTCAATATACAATTATCGATACATTTTATAATATCGTTTGTTAATATACCATTATCGATATTATTAATAATATCTGCATATTTTATTCAGCATACATTGATAATTAGGAGACACAATCGCCCAATAGGAAAAACGAATATTTAAGGGCTCTTTAAATATATTTTTACATAAATGGAAGGAATTCGGAGTGCATCACACCTCGATAATCGAAAAAACTGCCAACAAAACCGTGTTTTTTGACCTACCTTACCTACCTTGGTCTTTTCTACTTCGTCTCACTTTTTGCACGATCTTCGGCTGATTGATTGTCTGTTTCCAGGTCGTAAGCATAGATCCAATACTCAGCGCCAGTAATAATACATTTGTTGACATCTTGGGAGTCAGAAAATTTTGTTTCACAGAGGTTAACGCAACGCTTTTTTTCGAAAAATTTCAGCGATTTTGGAACCAGTCGTGCTTAATTTTTCTTATATTCAAATGATCTTGCAAGATGGTTTTCKCTGATCCTTCAAATACTCCAACGATGCTAGTAAGATGTCTGACTTTTAATCGTCGTTTCTCAATCACCAATCCTTTTTTTTACTGTCGTGTTCATCATTATCAGTTGATGTTGTTGGTCATGCTGATATTTTAATTTATCGATGTTTTCTACTTAAACCTAATGTGAGATTACAATTTTTGCCTATCAAATTTGCTGAAAATAGAGTTCTTCTTACAGTGCATGATTGGAAGTTTATGAACATATTGGTGAACATTTTTGAGCTTCATTGTATAAATTCTCTTTTTGTGCTCCGCAACTTAGCGATTTTTACCAACCAAGCTTACCCTACAATCTTTCCACTTTTTTGTTCAAAATATAATATATTTATTTCATGTGTAACTGAAAAGTAAGAAATAGTATAGCAGAATCTTAGAATAGCTCTATTTCTTCTAAAGAGGRTAAAAAATATCATATTAAGAATATTTCAATTGAGAATGTAAAGTCCTCTGTCGACGAACCTCTATAAGTCACCGTCCCGTCTTGGTATGTATAATGTAATAAATGGTGCAGAGGCTTGGACGATGTCAACAACGGATGAGTCCACGTTGCGATTTTTCGAGAGAAAAGTTCTGCAAAAGATTTATGGTCCTTTGCGCGTTGGCCACTTCGAATATCGCATTCGATGGAACGATGAGCTGTACGAGATATGCGACGACATTGACATAATTCAGCGAATTAATTAACGAAAACACTACAGCTCTGAAAGTATTCGACGCAGTACCTGCCGGGGGAAACAGAGGAAGAGGAAGATCTCCACTCCGTTGGAAGAACCAGGTGGTGAAAGACCCAATTGGCGTCACGTAGCGAAAAGAAGAAACGATTGGCGCGCTGTTGTTAACTCGGCTATAATCGCGTAAGCGGTGTCTACGCCAATAAAGAAGAAGAGTATACTTGATTTAAATTGTTTCTGGCCACTCCCAAGTGAAACGCCCTCAGAGAACTTTACTCACTTGCGTAATCTTCTCCACATGACTCCATTCTCCACTTTTATGGCACTCTTTATATAAATGTCTGTCCGTCCGTGTGTCTATATATACGAGAATTTATCTTTCACTCCTTTTATCTCCAAGAAGCTACGCATTTGTCGGATTCACCTACATCGGACCACCATACAAACGACAAAATCAAGTTCTTGTGCGGAAACTTCTTTATTTGTGAAGTGCATTCCAGTTCCTAAGTTTTTTATTATATGCATAATGGGACTGAAAATGTCACATTTCGAAGGAAAAGTATTTGGTTTATAAACAGAGACTTTGGAATTGGAAAAATTAAAAACAATTGCTTATCTATGTTTTCGAAGCTCTCATTCTCGCATATGAACTCAAGTTAGTATGTAGGAAGTAAAATATTMGCTCTTGAGCCGATGATAGTAAAGCCCTTATTAATATTTCTTGTTTCCTACACACAAATCCAAATCTCGAGCGGAATTCAAAGCAGCGCACAGTTTTATTTTTGGCTAGCGATTAAGTGATACGGCTTTGCTTCGTGTGAACTGCACTCGCTCATCCATATTTACATACAGACAGCTTGCACTGTTTGTAGTTTTGACGTCTAACGGCTCCAGCAGTGACTTTACACTTCTCAGTTGCATTCTGAACTTGGACAATGMSACAAGCAATGAAGTGCACAGCGTTCGTWTTCATTCTTCTTTTTGCTGCATTATTCGCRCACGTAAGTACACACATAAYCGCACGGCAACAGTTTAATTTAATTGCATTGTTTACTGTCTCGACTTTTTTGTGTGTTCGCCAATGTTTGTGTGACAGATCAACGCCGATTACGAGGAGAAGACAGAGGATGATTTCTTAAGCGCGGGCGAGCGTTGTTTCCAGCGTGAGCGCTTGGCCGCCTCCTATCAGCGTCGCTTCGACAACTTTGATTATCCGGACGAGGAGCCGGTCCAGCGCTATGTGCACTGCATTTGGACAGAGTTGAAATTATGGAATGATCGCACCGGTTTCAATGTCGAACACATAGCGGCACTTTATCGCGATAAGGCGAATACGGAAGTGCTGGTGCCGATATTGAGCGACTGCAATCGGAATGCACAGAATGAGCCGACCCTCAAGTGGTGTTATAGGGCCTTCAAGTGTGTGCTAAACAGTCGGGTGGGTCAGTGGTTCAAGGAGGATGTCGGTCGCAAGTTGGAAGAGAGGCGTRTGGGAAATCATGTCGCTTAAATTGCTTTGCACACACACACATRCATAATTACGWTTGTTGTTTATTTRCTGATAAGCAAGCACATCTGTTTGTGTAAAAATAAAATATTTGTTGTTTTTGGCATAATTATATGCACATACAGTTATTAAAAATCAGTTTCGAAAATCAGTGAACTGTAATAAATATGATTTTAATCGTAAAAGAAATTAATAATACATGTGTGTATGTTAGCATATAATATCAGTAAATATATATGTAAATCATATATGAACATAAWTTTGGTTTCTCTCATAATTTCGCACTCACTACGTACTCCTTCAGCCAAACACCCATTYGTCCTGCTGTCGCGCARCGATACGCCTCGTAAGCCCACAAATCCAAATCCGCTTGCTGATGCTTTTGATTACAGTAGYCCACTACGGTCATCACTTCGTTCTCATTGTGCTCTTTAATGAAAAACTTCGCCACGCGCTTGGCGTGGTAGCCACTGGCATCTGTCCATAAGCCCATATTGCTAGCTACGCAACGCAAGTAGGCGCCGGTTTTTTGTTCGGTATTACGGTACTCCTTGTTCATTGACGTGGGCGTAGAGCTGTTTTGAACACAAAATCCGTGCGCCTTGTAAAGTCTTCGAGATGCTTTCTCGTGTTCGGAAATCGGTACTGCTTTTGCGGGCTTGAGAGACTGTAATGAAGAAAAACAAATTATTATCTTGGAATTTTATTTACCACTGTATATTTAGGTTTGGCTTTAAAAGTAATTCCTTTCTATTATAAACAATCCTCAAAGTGCTTTTGATAAATTCAGAAAGCTTCTACAGTGCGAATTTTTCATCATCTCTGCTATTGGGAAGATTGGCCACCGTAATCTACGTTATAGTGGTTCAGCCCCAGGCATACATCGTGACAATAAAGCAACCAGAAATTGTAATTAAATGATATTTAAAAAAAATTATATTATTATGTATTTTGCTAAGTTGGTAGGACTATCCTTAATTACTATGCCAAATATGAGCGCCATCTGTCAATCAGTTTGTCTACAGCAGCTGCTTAAGTCGGTACACCTCAGTAGTGCCTTGCGATTTTTACAGTGCATAAAAATATCGAACAAAGAGTTTGTCTAAAATTTTGTGTTACTAAAGGAATTTCGTGTGAGYGATCATAGCGAATGTTGGAAAGTACTTACGGTGATTCAGTTTTATCAAAAACAYAAACCTACGAGTRTTAYAATGCCTTCAAAAACGRTCGTGAGATTGTYGAAGACATGCCTCGTTCTGGACGACATTCGACCTCTTAAACCGACGAAACCTTACTAATCGTGGTAGTATTAAAGTTGATCGACCACCAAACACCTCACAGGTTCGGTGAGAATGTGTTGAATGAAGACGTCAATAAAAAAAAATTTGGCATTTCGAGAGATGATAGCTCTTAACTACATCCTCAAAATGTCACCATTAGACCATATTTACAGTGAATAGKGAATGAGCTTTAGAGTCATGATTAATTACTTTTTCATCCCTGAAATAGAGGATTTTGATGTGGACGACCTCTGATATATGCTCTATAGCCAACAAAGCAATTAATTTATTTAATGAAACTTTTAGTCAAAAATTGGGCCTATTGGCTGAAATTTTATCGAGTCAGCCGCGGCGGTCACTTGACCCAAATGATTTTTAGAACATAATGGCAAACCCTCATCTTTATAATAAAGGTAAATTTTTGGCCATATCATTAAATTAAATGCGTTTTATTTCTCCATGAAAGTCACATGTTTAAAAAAACATACAACTCGAAAATCAATTAAATCAAAAATATAGAATGCGAAATTCAACTCCTATCCTTATTATAGTCAGGCGCTTAGACCATTACCTTACTTTACTTTATTACCTTACAAATGGAGGATACTAGTAACTTTGGATAAGATGTTTTATTCATAGCAACCGTCACCATTTCAAAACTCTATTTTGGTAATTGTTCCACTGCTCCAACTTGAAATTGATCTTACAAGGTGCGTTCCAAAGTAAACAGGACTTTTTTAATCTAGCGCCACCTGGTGGCGTCATCTATATGTCGACTGGTGCGTTAGAATCTGCTATCTTTATCCATTGTGCAGTAACATTCATGACATTTCATTAATTGGAAGAGGAGTTATTGCGTTTTAAGTGTCAGTATGTTTGTGTTACCGGTGCGAAAATGAGCTTCGAACAAAGAGCGAACATTAAATTTGGAAAAACTTTTACCGAAATGTTTCAATTGATGAATTTTGATCAAAAATCATATTTTAACCAATAATTATTCCCCGTATTCACCTGATATAGCACCGTGCGACTTCTTCCTTTTCGGAAAAATGCATTTGCCCATGAAAAAAGAAATAGCGTTATGCAGACGTATAACGGCTTGCACCGGTATACTGGCGGCCATACCGGCCAATAGCTAAAACACTCATTCGACGTGCTTATGGACCGTGCAAAAATCTGTAATGAAGCAGAAGGAGACTATTTTGAATAAAATAAATTGATTTTTCCGAAAAACAATTTATTCTGTTTTTTTTTTAAGTCCTGTTTACTTTGGAACGTACCTTGTATACTTCATTTGGGTGATCCAAGTATAGGTACTTTTTTCAATAGTTTTTTGTTTTTACAGCTGTCATGTCATTATTGTTCAGTATTGTTTGGAATTTCATCATGGAAAAACTTACGCCTGAACAA